CATTGACACTCTATCTACAATCTCAATTAGGAGTGTCAATGGTCCATTTGAAAGATAGGTGGTGGTAATGCACTTATAAGTCTGCGATCCGCTGTAAAGCAAGAAGAAGAAGTCGTGTCACTCGCCGGCTGTCGAGGACACGCTCAGGACATTTCAGACATTGCAGTGCATCAGAGGTAAAAAACTATATAAATACTGTTCAGTTTCTGATAGTTTCCAATCATTTTGTGTCTTTACACATCAATGTATCGTCACGAGCCACAGGGTTTAATTTGGTTTTGTTTGTGTATGGTTTTTTTGACTCTCAAAGCTGTGATTCCCATTCACGTCCATTATAAGACTTGACAGACTGGGTGAGACATTTTTGGGTGAACTATCCCTTTAAGACCACTAAACCCCACTGTGTTTCTGCAGCAAATGCACTGCATAGTTTTTTTCTACAGATCAACTCTGTCTGTGGTGATGAGGAATATAAATTAATAAATATAGAAGTATCAAATTGTGCTCTTTGGAGCCAGCGGCCTTGTAATTTCATGTGAGATGATGCTGGATAATCAGCACTGGGTGAATCAGGCCTTGAGATGAGGAAGGATTTTGGTGTGATTTATTATCTAAGGGGACAGAAATTCAATAATGGTAATACACATTTCTGCAGGTTCATTTTCAAGAGAATTGAAGTATTGATTGAAGGTCTCAAAGTTAACTCCTCCTATACTCTGGATATTAATAAATCAAGGAAGAAAAGCTTTTTACTAGAGATAAAATACAATTAGCATCTTTGCAGAACAGCTTAATGGGTGAACTTCAAAAAGAAGAAGTCACACTATTTCATTTTTTCCAAAAATTAACACTTCGCCGCCTTGGAATTATAAGATTCTATCTGCATTCTGAGCAGTTTTGAGATATTGAGCTTCAAAGTTTTTGTGTTCCATAGACTTCTGTAGATAGAACCCTTTTTGTATTCCACAAAAAAGGCCCAAAATGTACACAGCTTACAAAAGAAAAATCACATAATGTAAATAAACTGTCACAGAATAAGAATATGTGAATAACTCATATGTGATAGAACCTTATAATTCCAAGGCGACGACTTTTCTAATAGCATTTCCTTTTTTTACTGCCATTCAAGTGTATTAAAGCATTTATGTTTGTTTCCTTATTTGCCTTTATATTTATTCATGGAACAACTTCTTTTTTGTAAGTCACTTAATAATAAATCTGCCCAGATAAGACCTGTGTTAAATGTATGTGACAATACTGGGCTGGGGAAACTTGCAAGAGGCCCAAGAATGGCTTTTTTTTTTTTCAGAGCATCTATTTACACAAAGTGCAAATAGCCCGCATTGTTGGCAGTTTTGCCTAATTTTTTCCCCTCCCTTTCAAATCTCATATAATTCCGGAAAGATATTTATTTTCAATAAAAATTAAGGAGATAATCAAAAAGTTGAAAATAAATTAACAGGTAGGGTTAGGGTAGGTGTAGGGAGGGCTTAATTGTCCCAATAAGGTGGCATCCATTGAATAATTTGAATTAAAATTATAATTTACACTCAATATGTTATTATTGCATACTGTATATAATGTACTACAATATTGAGGTGCAGATAATTGCCACTATTTGCAATAAGTAGTATAAATAGCAGAAAATCCTGCTATTTTAACATAGTGTAAATAGAATCTATAGCTATTTGCACTTAGTGTAAATAGCATATCATTAAAAAATGTTATTTCCTCTTAGTGTAAATAGCATCTATCGCTAAGAAAATGTGCTATTTTCACTTAGTGTAAATAGCATCTATTGCTGTTTGTATGTAGTGTAAATAGCCTCTTTCGCTATTTACACTTTGTGCAAATAGCCGCTGCCATTTAAAAAAAAATTATAAAATCATTTTTACAACTTTGTTAAAATGCTAAAAAAAAATATATATATATAAATTCAGTTTTCTCCTCAACTTATTTTGTATTGGGAAAAAAAGCAACAGTTTAATCACAAGAGTTTGGTGCGCCCTCTTCCAATGGTCTCTCTCTCTCTCTCTCTCTCTCTCTCTCTCTCTCTCTCTCTCTCTCTCTCTCTCTCTGTATGTATAT